TATTTGTGTGTGTGTGTGTGTGTGTGTGTGTGTGTGTGTGTGTGTGATGGCTGAAGTTGAGAATAATGATTCAGTGGGATTGTCATCCTAACTCTGCATCCCCATGGGAGTGCTCAGTGTACATCATTACTTAACTGTGGTGCAATATCATGGCAAATACCATGCATGGCATATATTTGCAGGCTGTGCTGATAAATGACTAACCAAAAAATTGAAGAATTCAGCTCAAACCAAACAATAGGGAAATGGCATGCAGGTGTCATAGTTCCAACTAATTCCATGGCACTGACTCTGGGTTTTCCTTATTCACCTGAGTGTCTTGGTTACAGAACAGAGTGGCCCTGTGATTAAAAGAAGAGATGAGCAATAGGTTGTGATGGTGGGTGGTGGGAATACCACAAAGACTAAGACTGACTGTACTGAGGATATTAGAAGGACAAATCTACATGTGTCTTGAATCCTGCTTTGACATTAATGCCAAGGTTATTCTCCACTAACCCCAAGACTATAGATCCTGAACAGTGCAATGGAATTGACAAACAATGCTTGGAATTAACCCATGGAGACATTCGGAAATGTGCATAGACCATATCATAAACGCTCAAAGAACACACAGATCTTCACCCCTTGGTGTGCCCCCCTCCCTGTGACACAGACATGAGCACACCAAGGTGCTGCACATTTGTTACCCTTCACCCAGTAAGAAGAAACGATGCATGACTGACCCCAGGTATCGAGGTGATCTGCTACCACCTTCTTGCTTACTGTAAATGACGCTCATGGCACGTTATCAAGTGGCTTTGCCACTATCAAATGTTCCCATTTTCCTTTACATTTCCTGAGCCTCACAAACAGCCTCCCCCCACTCTCCATCTTCCTTCAGTCACACCATAAACACAGCCTCACAGTACATCAGTCAGAGGTGGAAAGAGCAGAGAAACAGCTCCCACAGTGCCATCAACCTTCTCTCCCTTGATTCGGCAGACACAGCTTGCACTTCTCAGTCCCACACAGAATTACTTTCATGAGTGGCAGGAAAGCCAACTGCTGCTCACTCACCTGCAAGTCACAGTTGACAGAAGAAATCAAAACCAGATTCTTTTCACGTTTTCTGAAAGTCATTTTAGGAGAGTGAGGGGCAAGGGACACTCGAGTGGCTTTTCAGATTAAGCGTAAAACTGGAAATGGCTTTCTGCTGCTAACATCCCCAAGTGATGTCTGATGGCACCGAAGTGTGGCAGGAGCCATGAAGCCAGGATTTCCACAGTTTAAAGACAGAAGCTTTTGGAGTGTCTCTGCCTTATCTGAAAGGAGCTTGACTTCTGGTGAGGGGGTGTGCTGAGATTTTTCGTGGCTTTGATTATTCCATCTAGTGTTTACTCTAAGCTCCTGTTCTGTCTAAAATTTCAATTTTTCATGTGTATTTTTGCATAATGATATTTTCATTTTAGAGAAGGAAAACCTCTAAGTAAAGTTCAAACACCCCTTTGTGTTGAAGAAAGGTATAAAACACTCACAATATTAACAAACCGTTACATCTCGTGGCAAAAACAGGCTAATAAAGGAGCCACAGAAAGCGAACCACATCATGGGAGAAAGTGGCCTTAAGGCTCAGATTCTTATCTCAAAACAGAACCCAAGAGGAAAGGACTCTGGTAAGAAACTCTGGCCATTCCCTGCCTGGTCTTGTCTGCTGGGTGACACCAGGTCCGGCTCAACAACTGGGACTATTTCATTGGAATGGGACCAATGATGCCGGAGAGTCTTTGAATGAGCAGAGCAGCTGACGAGGTCTCTGCAGCAGAAAAGCTCTGGGCCTGGAACACATGGGCAAGGTCCCGAGGGATCTCAGGGGTTTGCTGTTGCATGCTTTCTCAATGGCCATGGAAATCTTGCAAAGCATCAATAATGACATTGGGCGACATCAATAATGACATTATTTTCTCTTTGCTGCCATCTCTGTCTCCATGCTCCCACCCCACCCCCTGTAGACAAATACCCACCAATAACTCCACACTCAAAATCTATGACTGTTACCTTAAGCAGCAAAAGAGATTTTACAAACGTGAATGAGGATAATGAGCTTAAAGATTATTCTGTGTTATTCAGATAGACTCAATCTATTCATACCAGACCTTAGTGCAAAATGTAATTGCATGGGAAATGGCTAGTCTATAAATCAGTGCTTACGGATACCCAAAGTCGCCACCTCTGTTCCCGGGCACTGGGGTCATGTGGTTTCAAGGAGACCCCTTTCTCACTAGCCAGGAGGCTCCCTTGGCATACTTAAAAGATAATCAGATTACAGAATGTGGCTGCCATGTCAGCATCAGAGTCCATGAATATCGGGCATCATGCCACACATCTCAGTACTCTATAGGCTAAAGTAGGAAGGACATGAACTTGAGGCCAGCCTGGGCTACAAAGAGAGTTCCAGGTCAGCCTGGGCTTCATATAGAGCCTATATCCCCCCTGCCATCGCCTAAGGAGGTCTGCAGACTGTTCTGTAGGGAGTGAAGTGCATGTTAGGTGGCAGGGGAGTCTAGGCCCATTGCAGAAGGAAGTCTGAAGGGTGTGTCTTCGTTTCTTGTGGAAGCTCCAACAAAGGAACACAGTTAGCTGCTGTCAAGCAACAGTACTTTCCTCTCAATGTTCTGGAGGCTGAAAATCTGAGCTCAAGGTGTCATCTGGGTCACGCTCCATCCACAGGCTCCAGAAAGTCTTCCTGACTCTCCAAGCCACGGCTCTGGTGACATCCTTCGCCCACAGCTGTGTCAGGACAAGCTCTGCCTGGAAGTCACCCTGAACCTCTTCCCCTGTTCTTCACGCTGACACTCAGCACTCAGGACACAGACTGCACCACAGTGCCCATCAGACTCCCCAGCTGGGCCCCTTGCTCTCCACAGAGCTCAGTCCTCTGCTTCAAACACACATCGGTGTCTCTCCTGACTACTGAGAGTGACAGGTGCTCCACAGTATAACCTGTAATTGCACAGGGATCACAGGAAAGCAGCATCTTTCCTCCAGCCAGCCTGTGATCTGTGGTCTTAGCGTGTGGATCTCACAGTCGGTGGGTCAGGGAAGGCATCGCTGTGCCCACCTGCCTGTTCACCATGTGAGAACAGAGTCCTAAGAACCTGTCCTATCCAGTTCTTGGATCCTGGAGCAACAAGGATACAGCAGACCCAGGTTGAGATGAGATTGGAGAATGCCATCAGCATCTCACTGTGCACAGTTGACCGAAAGCTCTTGGAGGTGACAGGTCACTACATTTTGTTTTAATTGCAGCCTCCTAGCGGTATGCTCAGCACTGAACCGGGCAGAGGGCTCTGCTCAGGTGCCTGGCTGTCCAAGGGATGGATAGGTGTCATCAGATTGTAGGGTTTCTCCTTTCATCTCAGTAGGGCCTGCTATCTGTAAACACAGGAAAAGAAACACTAAGTGATGCTGAATTTAATTGAAATGAGATCTGAGAAAGGAGGATCCAGAGCCAGCAATTATGTTCAAAAAGCAAACCCCCTGCTGATGGTGTTTACATTCCTCTTGCTCTAAAGAACTCTGCAAGGGAAATAATACACGATAGAAGCACAGCTCAAACTCAGACTCCAAGTGTGGTGAGCCTGCAATTCCCCATAGGGAAGGATGCTGTAGAGAAGAAAAGCCAAGTGCAGACTAACATTCCAGCCTGTGGACCGCACCCAGCTCCTTTGACCCACTGGCGGACACAATTCTTTATGACTTAACATGTCTATGTTGAGATGTATTATACTGGCCTCTTTGGACTTGTTTCAACCCCATAACCTTCTCTTACCCTCAAGTCTAACCTACACAGACTGTAGGTTAGTCTTGGACATACTCAGTCGTGAGTCTGTCTGCTGAAGAGGCGTTGCAGTGGCCTGTCTTGATGGGCAGTGAGACGCCCGTAGTGACAACTCAACTCCATTCCTTCTGCAGCGTGGTCATGGACGGGATCTTCTCAGGTCAGAGCGGCTCTCTGCAGGTTTCTTCCTCCAGCCAAAGGTCTGTGCATCCTCCGGGAGTAACTCTGCTCCATGTCCTTCAGAGCCAGAGACAGCTTCCTTTTGTCCCTAGTCCTGGGACCCATAGACTCTCAGGCTTCCTCGGCTGTGGCCAACCTTGTAAAGAGGCTTTCAGCAAACTCTACTTGTTCACAGTACTAAGAATACAACCCAGACACCACCTACTCTGGTTACAGAACATTGAAAAGTCAATCACAAAATGACTCAGAAACTTTCTCCTTGCTAAGCAACTTTTGTAGTGCTGGAAGGTTCCGTGTGGGCTGCTGGGGGAAAATGACATCAATTTCCTTACCTAGTCCTGGATCCTGCATGGTACAATACTGATGTGCCAGGAAAGCTGTGCCTTCTGGGACAATACTTCTATGGTGTTTACCAGAGTAACCAACCATTATCTGGTTGGATTTAAGGCCTTTACCTCAAGAAAGCATTTTACACTTGTTACCGTACACTTGGTCAAAAGCCCATGACTGGTGAGACCATATACTAAGGAGAAAGATATTGGTGTTGGTTGACTAAATGTTCTTGTTGTCAAACTACCATTGTAATGTGTATGTCTCTACCCACAGGCTTGTGCTGCTCTCAGCCTTGGGCAGGGAAGCGTCTATTTGCAGTTGATAGTGGTTAATGCGGAGACTTCTACTTGGCTAAATAGTGCTCAAATAAGTGACTCAGGCATATATGAGTAACATACATCACCACCAGCCCCCTCCGAGGCTCAAGGAACATCACAGGGAAGTGGGCGGAAAGAGTGTAAGAGGAGTCATGTGAAATGCTGTCTTCTGCATATGGCATGATCAATGCACACAACTCTAAAGAATTCCGGTTACTTGCACAAGACCTGTATAAGATCAAGCCTGTCAAAATGCAAGCGTGGATGGAGGAGGGGTTCCCAATATCCCATCCCTAGCTGAGGAACTATTGGCAGGTGATGTCTGCTGAGAAGGGGCGTCACTTCCCTCAGCAGGACAGGAGTAGGCTGCCCATGTCCCATTGCATGGTACCATACCCATTTGCAAAGAGTCAGCACTGACTGGACTAAAGGGCTATTTAAAAAATAATGATAAAGAAGATACAAAAATTGGAAGGTAAGTTAGTGTATCCCAAGGAGACTAGGATAAGGTCAAAACACATTGTTAACACATGAAATTTTCAAAGACTATGCTTTTAAAGAACACTTTGCAAGCTGGTCATGATGGCCTCTGCCTTTAAACATAGGACTTTGGAGGCAGAGGCAGGTTGCGATCTGTGAGTCTGACTCCAGCCTGGTCCACATAGTCAGTTCCAGGCTAGCCCAGACTAAATAGTGAAATCCTCCTTTCAAATCCATAGAAAGAACCCAAAGTTACCAGTTATTGACTATTGACCTCAATAATACAGTAATTATTGTAATTCATAACTTGGTAGCTTAATCCAAGAGGAACAGATTATAATTAACAGAGTCTAATGATGTCTGAGCATTGCTGTGGTGTGTCCCTGTGTCCACACAGAGGTAAGAGGATGTCTGAACATCGCTGTGCTATGTTCCTGTGTCCACACAGAGATAGGAGGATGTCTGAGCATTGCCGTGCTGTGTCCCTGTGTCCACACAGAGGTAGGAAGATGCTTGACTGTAGATGTGATTTCTCTTGAATTTTCATGTTTTTGATATTTTAATATTCTAGGAGTGACAATAAAAACCCTATAATGTGGAAATATAGTCCTAAGCTGGGAAAATCTAGAGGAAACATTTGGAAAACACTGATCAAACGTGTGACTTGGGGTTCACTTTATTGGGTCTTTAGGGAGACTTGTTTTATGGTTTATATGAAGTGAATGTTAAGTTTCTGAGTACAAGACCTTGTGAGTTTTCTTGTAGGGAAGCTCTGATACAGCAAGTTGGATAGGTTTCTTTCTTTTTTAAAAATTTAATTTTCTCTCATCTCACATATGTATGCTGTGGGATGTTCTATATGCTAAATGTGTTGCTCTGATTGGTTAATAAATAAAATACTGATTGGCCAGTAGCCAGGCAGGAAGTATAGGCAGGACAAGGAGAGAGGAGAATTCTGGGAAGTGGAAGGCTGAGGCAGAGAGATGCTGCCAGCTGCCTCCATGATAAGGTACCAGTAAGCCATGAGCCACATGGCAACTTATAGACTAATAGAAATGGGTTGATTTAAGATAGAAGAACTAGAAAACAAGAAGCCTGCCATGG